TTTTAAATTTTTTTTTTTTTTTTTTGTTAAAAAAAAAAAAAAAAAAAAAAGGAAGCTCAACAGGAGGTGGTTCTGAGAAAAGGTACATCAAGCAAAGAATGAAAAAAACCCTGAATATAAGCTTGGCTCTGTCTTCATAAAAAAAGGGAGACAGCAGAAAGTACACATCGGGAATTCTGAAAATATCTCCCTAAAAAATACTGTAAGATTAGAAAACTTGAATTTCCTTCTGGCTGCCGTCAAGAACCTTTTTTCTCTTCCAGTACATCCTAGGCTGATTTCAGGTCTAACTGCATACTACTGCTTCTCAATTTTGACACAACAGCAAAAGCCACTTTCTCCACCCAGCACCTCTGTGCACTGTTGTCCACACATCTAAGAACAATAAAACTGTAAACTTTCAATAGAACCAACAAATTTAATCAAGCTTCCTTTTCCTGCAACTGGAGCAGCACAATTATTCACAAACTGGTGACTGTAGACGTACAAAGCATAAAACACCTATGCATATATATTTCAATAGGACAGTTCTAGTTCCTTCAGAAGAGAGACATTCTTGGCTTTAAGCAGTTCCACATGGCTGACCACAGGTTCAGGTTTACTCTGGTTCTGCTTTACATCCGATACCCATTGCTGTCGGTATTTACAGCCTTTATGCTGAAATACACTACGTACATCAACAGTGGGTTTAGAACTGGTTGACTGCTTCTGAGCTTGGCAATTAATAATTTATGAATTATCTGCACGTATGCCTCTTAATATTATATGCTACTCATAGTTTGCAGCTTATACTGCATAGCTTCAGTATTTTTGCTACTGAAAAAATAGTATATATTGGGATAATTTTTTAGAAGAACAGTCAAAACACAGGCCTAATTGTGTTTACTGCAGCACTCATTCAGAAAAAGGAGACATATATGCCATCCTCGTAGAACTTAAGATCACTAAAGAGTGAAGTGGGGAAATATTCTTGTGCATTACAGGTTAAAAAAAAATTGAGTTGCAAAAAAGGGAGTTACCTCCATGAAAACACACAAGGTCTGTGGTAAAACAGATGAGTGAACTTAGATGTCATTAATTCTGGTCCAGAATCTGAACATTTAGTATCACAGAACACTGAAAATCCTCTTTCAACTTTGTCATGGTTTAACCTCAGCCGGCAACTGAGCACCACACAGCCACTCACTCACTCTCCACCTCCCCGCAGTGGGATGGGAGAGAGAGTTGGAAGAGTAAAAGTAAGAAAACTCGTGAGTTGAGATAAAAACAGTTTAATAATTGAAATAATAATAATAGAATATACAAAGCAAGTGATGCACAATGCAGTTGCTCACCAC